AGAGGGAAATTGTCATATTTATTACTACTGTGCTTAATTCTTCACCGCTTTCGTTTCTTTCTTGATTGAACACCTTATTTCTTTTCCTGATTATTTTTTCCTAGAAAGAAGACTCTGTTTGCCCATGATGTGATTCAGTCTGAGTATTTTTATAATGTATTTTCTGTATGGTGTTGTTTTATAATCATCATGAGGATAATTTTGACATGTAGTGAGTAAGAAACCAGTCCATTCTGAGCAGGACTCATGCTTTTAAAATGTAACCTTTAAGGATTTTCAATAGGACTTTCCACTGTACCGTTCACGTGTGTAAACACACTGGATAGTTTAGAAGTACTCCTGTTTTCTGAGTGCAATATGTGGCAGAGCCAGAGCATGCCTTTAATTATCCTGCAAGAGGGTGAAACTTGATCGTGTCCATTGTCACTGTCCAAAGTTGATTATTTGGAGCATACTTGTTCTGTCATCCCAGAGGTGTTATGTCTGTTGTGCCTATTCTATCCCACAGGCAATTGTGCTTGCATCTTCAGGTCATTAAGAACAGCGATAGTTTCATAATTGTGTGGGTAACTAAGGTTTCATTTCATTCTACTTTTAACTGTGATTTAGCTGTTTTATTATAAAATAACCCAGAAACAAAGAGGGCATGTTGAGGCTTCTGTGTTTAACTTATTACGTACTAATGAAATAGTTTTTTTGTAAGCACCCAGAGTCTTCTCCATTCATTCTGATGTCTTAGATCAAGTGTCTTCTGGTCACCTCCCTCCCTCTAAAGCATCAGTAGAAAATGAGATTAATTTTTGCGTCTGTCTTACTGTTTAGGTGCTTAAGGCTGAGTGAGAGGAATACCACCAAAATGTTTGACAAACAAGTTAGGCTAAGCATGTCTGAAAAGCTGGCAGATTTTTCTGAGTTTCTCGTTGAGAGTTCTTGTTCAAAGCCCTTTTTAGAATAAGCATTAAATGTGTAATTCAAAGCATGCTGATGGAAGTATGCACGTTAGACCCAGAATAAAACACTCAATGCAAGTCTTTTTTTTATATCATATGAAATACATGTGACAGTCCAGATTAGAACCAGGTAGAAGGCATATTTGGAATGCTGAATGGTAGGGATGTTTTCACGGCAGCAACTATCATAGTGAGTTTTTTTTAGTCGTCTACTATTAGCTGTATTTCAGTCTTTTTGTATCAACATCCAATTGCTGAGTATTGGTTTTGATGGAAACTAAAATGAACAAACAGAAGTTTTAGCAGAAGGTCTGTGAAAATTTTGCCATTTGCAACAAGATGATTTCTCCTCTTCTTCCACCTAGCCTCCTTAGTTACCACACACACAAAGTTTGAGCTGCAGTACCTTAATGATATAAGTACATCTCTTTGTTTTAAACCACTGTTTAGGTCATGTTCAGTGATAGTGCTTTACAATGTCAAATACTGATACTAGCTGGTTTTTGTTTTGGCCTGTCCTGTTTCTCACCATCTTCATGCTGCTGGTTGTGCCAGGATGATAACCTTCCCTGGAACACTGAGAGCATCCCACATTTGTGATGCTCATCATCTGCTTAAATAATCTAAAATATAGGGGTAATAATATGCGGTGGAACTGTTACATTTTTCAACACAATCTAGTTTTTATTGTCTTTGCTAAGTTCATGTGACATGCAGTTGTATCGGAACTCTTTTATTGTCATAGTAAGACATTGCCTGGCAGGCAGGCCCTCTATACATAAAACCCAAAGTTGCTTCTTGCAAATGAACCTGAACTTTTTGTAAGATACTCATTTTAGAGAACGCAGGGTTTTGTTGTCTTCACCCTGAACTAATCATCTATCTTAGTATTCTAATGAATTTTTTTTTCTCCCATCCCTTCCTTTCATATCCGTGTTTCTGGTGCTTCTCGTTTTTTTTTTTACTTTTTTTTTTTACATGTCTGCTTTTTGTGCTTGTGGCAGCTTCACTTCAAAGTGGAACTTGATCAGGCATTTATTGATATTTTGATCTCTAAAGCAATACAAGCTAAAGTCTTGATGATACACATGTTGATGTATGTGGTTTTTAAGATTTCAGCTTACTCAGTTGTAGAGTGAAGATGTAATTTTGCAGGTACTGTAGTTTCATGTCTTCTGTGTGGAACAGTCTGTTTTACCAGTAGGGATTCTTTTCTGGAGATAAGTTTGAGTGACTGAGACTTAACTTCGTTTCCTCTCTTTCAAAAAGTAAACCCCTAACTATTCTAGTAAGTGTGTTCCTTTTGTATGCTTCTGCAGGTAAGTGTCTGCCTCTTACTCCTTACCCCGGCTATATAATACCACATTTTAGCCTAAACTCAGACTACTGGTTGCCTTAATACCATCTGTGTGGCTTGATTGCAACATACATTTTTTGTCATTTCTGAACCTGCAAATAAAGGAAAAACTGAACGTCCTAGTGGAGTGTCTCCAGGGTATACTAATTTTTCAGGTCTCTCTGGAATGTCAGAACGTGCTTAAATGTGGTTTGTTTCCTAGGTTCCTTCACCAGCAGTCTCTGATAAGAAGACAGGTTGTTCCCTCTGCTTTTGGCAGTTTCTTTCCATGAGCAGAAAAGGTGCTTTTGCCCTCTGCTTCAGTAATAGCTCCAAAGCCACATGCCGATAGCCGTATCAGGAGGCTGACCATACAGAATATTCTCCAATATTTTGTTTTCAGTTTGGTAATATCATCCCCCCCCTTCTTCTCTCAGTTCTTCTAACTTCCCACAAACTAGTATTGTGCTAAATATTTAGGAAGTGGCTGGGTTTAGAGTAGGCTTTCAAAATACACCTTAATTGTCTATAACCCAAAAGAGGTTTTTTCTCCTTTCTCTGCAACAATTATTTTTCCTGCCTTCTGCCTCTGATACCTTTCAGATTGGCAGGCAGTGAATTTTCTAGCATGTCTTTTATTGATTGCATAAATGGCCCTCTTTGCAGTGGGTCTAGTGGACTCCCTCAACGTGAGAACCGCAGTTGGTTTTACTTGCCTGCACCAGGGCTAACACATTCAGTTGGCCAATGTCAGCAGTGGTTGGGGTAGTTGGATAGTATAACTTAAGGGTAACGTAAAATAAAATTGACTTTACCATTACATTAAAGGAATGATCTACAGACTGTATGAAACATACTTTGCAATTTAAGCAAGCTCCTCAACTTTTGAAAATGTATCTGAAGCTGCTCTAGAGTGCCTGGTCTACCACAGTGGAGTGCTGCAGAATCCAAGGGCCTCGCCGCAGGATTTAGGTCACCCTTGCTGTGGAGCACACAGGACCTGGGGTATTGTCCTCTTCCTGAAATTCCTGAATCGCCTCCTGGCTGCTTCTGACATACGTTTTTTAGCTCTCGCTGTTCACTTCGATTTCATATGTTGCTGCTTTAAGTACTCAGTGTTCTTTGTTTCATGCTGTGTGAATGTAAATGTTTAGAGATTTCAAACACAGGCTGGTGCTTCACAGTATTCATGTCCTGCTTGCTAGGCTCATGCCAACAGCTTTTGACATCTGGTTGGTATGTTTTGAACTCTCTTACACTGTCTGGCACCCATATTGCAGTTACCTGACAATAAATAGATGCTTCCTACCTTTTTCTGGAACTCTTCAACAAGCAGTTTGTGCAGTGCACCCCATGTCTTTGCACTAGTGCTCTAGTGCACTGTCAGGTGGGTGTATAAAAGACAAGTGAGTGTGAGCTGCATCTTGTCTAAACTGGGAAATCATGAAACTGCTTGGTTGGCAGGATATGCTCACTAACTTATCCCCAAAAGCTGGGGGGAACTGCCAATTTCTTCTGCATTTGGTTGGCATGAAATGTTTGTTCAGGGAAGTATTTCTAAAGTCTGCTTGGTTATTATGAAGGTTTTTCCTGACAGTTGATGAAAGATGCTTCTGGGTACTTTCCAATGACTGTAAGGAGTTAGCATTGCCACTTCCTGGCTTGAATTGGGACTTGTAGGTAATTATTTATGCAAATAGCATCCAAACAGAGCTTCTGCACAAATGGACACTTGTTGCTTAACAAAAGTGCTTACCAGAACTGGTAGAGAAGTTGCTGAAAGTAAAAGCTCTGCATTTGCCCAGTTAGAGGTGTGTTTATCTTGCACTAAAATTCTTAGAGAGCACAGAAGAGCCAAAGACCTGGCAGCCATTTTCAGAGGAGCATGTTTTGTTGCTGCTGCTGAGAAATCTGTAGCTCACCTTTGGATGATCAAAAGGTAATTTTCTATCTATGTATGTTTCAAGTAAGATTTTAAAAGCCAGTCTGCCTTTATAGGCTTCTGTATTCCCTTACTTACTCAATACTAGGATTATCTATGTTGTATCTTAGTTTTTTGTTGAGGTGATTACTGTACAATATGACATTTTGCTCACATGAGCAGTAAAAATAGATCTGCAGGTATAATTGTGGGCAGTGCAAGCCATGGAATTAAACAGTCATGAGGAAGTAGAGAGGAAGCAGGATATTTTTTAGCGTTCTGTCTAAAATTGCTATGTTTTAGCAATAGCAACTAGTGAGCTACAGTTTTCAGCAGTTACAGAAGAAAATGAAATGTAAACAGAACTGAGGCTAGTCTCTAAATACGGCTGCAGGATAAACACCTCTGCAGAAAGGCAAATTTAGAGAGGATTTCTTTGTCCAAGTATGAAACCCAAGTACTGTTTGTGTTACAGTCCTTTTGTTGGCAGTTTTGTGTTTGTGAATACAGTCCTCAGAGTTGCTTTATTTTATGACCCTTGTACCACTTTTATTTTTAATTTTGCTCTGTTAACTAGTGCATTGTGCAATAATTAGTCCCATGCTTTGATTCTCAGCTGTTATTTTTAATGAGTCTTGAGAAGAGTAACCTGTGGGAGAATTGCATGCTCTTTGTTACCATCCCCATGGAACTGTACATGAATCTAATCAGGATGTGTTCATAGTAGCCCTCAATTTTTTAGTAATATGGCTATTTTCTTCTTCATAGGACTGAGTTTGCCCTAAAAGAAATCATGTCATCAGGAGGAGCTGAAGATGATATTCCTCAAGCAGAGAGGAAAACGGTGACAGACTTTTGCTACTTATTGGATAAATCTAAACAGCTCTTCAATGGCTTAAGGTTAGTGCATTTTTGACAGTATTCCTTCAGAAAAGCATTGGAACATACACTTTAGTATGTGAGTGATGCTGAAGTCAGTTGTACAATGAACAGTTCGAACTCAAGCCCAGTAAGTTTGTTTAGGAGAGAACAATGTGCACCTATGTATGGGTAGTTTTGGACCATGTATGTAAGAATGTCTGTAGGAGTAGAGGTTCATGCATTCTTCTGAGACAGTAGGGAAGGAAATGTAAGAAAGGTGAGCTGAATGTCTCAGTCATGTCAGTTAACAGTAAACTAGAAGTTGGAAATTCCGTGAAATTGATAGAATTCATACTGAAATGTTGTGCATGAAGCACACAATTAAGGACTAGGTGTGGCTGCATACAGTCAACAGCATGCAAGGCCAAATCCTCACAGCCTCTGTACCAAAAAAAAAAAAGGGATGAAAAGGATTGGCCTAGGTGGGAGGAAAGGTGGGGAAGGAATATTTTTTGCGAAGAAATTTAGGAAGTGATAAACAGAAGCATCTAAACCATAGCCTGTATGTGTCTGGTGAAACAAATGCTTAATCTGAACTGTGGAGAAAGGTAAAATCTGCATTTATCTACAAAACAGCTGCAATAACATCTAGAAAGTCTAGCTGTTTTGTCAACACCAATAAGAAGGGGAATAAGAGTAAGGGGAGTTCAAGGAAAATAGTTCATGTTTGGACAGTGATATAGGCATCCTGTTTATGTCAATATATGCTGAGTTAAAGATAATGTATTCAAGAGTTGTTTTATTTCTAAGCTTTGCTGTAGAGTCTCTTAAGCAACGTGGTTTTTAGCTCATATCTTGTTGGCAGTTCAGCGTCTTACTGGTCTCTGAGTAATACTGTATGTTTGGGCCCATATAGCTTGCTGTTATTCAAACACAGATGGTTAGCAAAGATGTTTTTAATTCCTTCCCCCCCCCGCCCCCCGCTATTGATAATCCTTTCATGTGCTTTAGAAGTTGATTACCAAATCCAAAACAAACAGTTTGTGCTCCAAATTCTGAATGGTAAATGGGCAGTAGAGACAAGGAGTGATTGTGATTCGGCACTCCATGAAACAGGGTCTAAAGCAAAAGGATTGAGATCTTGAGGCCCGGATTTCTAGGACCATATATGCCATTACATTGGCTTTCTGATATAGCTCACTTGAAATTTTGGCCTGAGTCGCTGAAGAGTACAAATTAATACAGTTCATGTCTGGATGCGTGATGCTCAAGTTCAGATCACAGAGATGGCAGAGCACCTGCAGCCATTCTGTCTTTTCCTTTGGGCATGGAGGGAGTTAGTACTTGTATCAGATTTCCAGAGAAGAGATGTAGTTTCTGTGTGTATCCACGATACTTTGCCAAAAAGAAACTTTCTTATCCAGCTAGATGAAAAGAAAATGGAAAATACCTTTGGATGAAATTTGGGCAATAAAAATAGAGATGGACTTCAGCAGCTGGCTCTGCTGTGTGAAAATAAGAACATACCAGAATGGGAGCCTGCCTCTGTCCTTACTGTAACTTGACACAACATAGTTGCTTCTTGCACTGAACTTGGCCACCATTTCACCTATAAGTCCTGTGATTCCTATGGGCATAATGACTGGATAAAGCAGCATGATAATTTTCAGGTATCTCCTCTGTTAGTGCGTGTTTTCTGGGTAGTTCACCTGGAAATGACTTGGCAAGTATCCTAATTCTTAGTCCAGTTGCTTGCTTTTCCCTCTAGCATAATAAATGCATTTGATGCATGCCTGCCTTCTTCTGTTTTGAAGATGGTGATGGCCTTTGCTGCTGTGTTTTATGCCATTCTCTTGTCCCTACCATGTTTCATGGAAATGAAGTGATGGGGGAGGGAGACGAGAGCAATGATTTCCTTCCTGAAACCTCCTCTGGGCACTTCAGCTAAAGGGAACTGAGCCTATAGCTGTGTTGGCAGCTGCTTAGCTGTTGCTGCTGCCAAAAATGCAAGGGCTCAGCCTGCCACGTCTTTGTTTCAGTAGCATTTCCTTCCTCTCTTCCCAATACAGATGCCAAATACAGCATTTGAGGAAAACATATGATGATCTGCCAAGGTTGCTACTCCAAAGTATACTTCATGCTCGCACTACCAGTGATACCATCCTTTTGTGGCCATGTCTGCTAGAGTAACTTAGAGGGGAGGTTGTCTTTCTAGTGTCTGTACTCCCTTTTTGAACCCTGAGCTGTAAGTTAGAAACAACTTTTAATGAAGTGTGTCCCAATTGCTCTCTTCTCTCCCTTCCCCACTCCCACTTGCTTTTTTCTTGGGAAAAGGCTGGAAAGAGGGAGCATGTTAGGAAGCAGTTTTTCATGGCATACTGTCACCAGTTATTATTTTCTTTTTATGTTAAAAAGTGCTTAAATGTGTTCAGTATCACAGAGAAGCTTGAAACTTTAAGAAATGAAAAGACTTTCCACATATATCGTGCCTTCCCAGATTATAATGTCTCATTGCTCATTGTGCAGGCTGCAAGAATCACGACTGCTGTCCTTTTATGGAAAGAGGTGATAGTGTTTAACCATTTATTTTGTAGACTTCTAGTAAGATGCAAGTTGAACCTCTTAGTTTTGTTCCATGCTACTGATGTAGAAACAACAGGACCCTGTTAGCTTCAGGTGGTGCTGCAGGCTGTACCCTGTCTGGTACTGGGAGGGGACTGGCTTCTCACACCAATTGCATCAGTGAGGCAAGTTAATGTGAGTGCTACTGGTGTGCTTACTGTCTTTGTGGGTTATTAGAGGTGATAGGGAAGCTATGCCACAATGCCGTTATCCCACTGCTGCTTAGGTTCTGGGAATAGAAGCCTGTAATTACTACAAGCCTATGAACATAAAAGGAAATTGTCTCTTTTATCACCTGTCAAAACTGTGAATGTATTTAAAGCTCTGAATGTTAAACTTACAGTTATTGTAACCTTCCGTTTTGAAGCGTACTGCTGAGTCTCTAGGACTTTTTCAACATCTTTGTGTCTCTGGAAGTTGTCCCTGTGTGACAACTTCCATGTGGTCCTGGCCAAAAAAACCTCAGCACCTTTAATTGGTTTTCAGCCAGTATTATCTGGCTTCTGCCAACAGCATGGCTGAAATGAACCACTGACAAAAAATGAATTATGAGCACGTAAGTAGTGCTGGTCTTTCCTGAGACTATACAGCAAGAATGGGACAAAATTCTGGACTGTCCATGGAATTTATGCACCAGCCACTCTAATGTGGCAAGGGAACCAGTCTTCTGTGCCCAGTGCGAGAAACCATCCTTTTAGAACATCTGAGTTTGTGTCTTCATGTCCGGTTTGGAATGTTTTAAAAGCCAAGAAATTGGAAACAGCCTCCACTTGTTGTTGGAGGCTATTGTAATGAAGTGTGTAACTGTCTTCCTTGTCTGGATAGAACTGTCCTAAATCAAAGCATCTCCATTGCCTCCTCTGCATCTGGATTGCTTCTTGCTGCCACTTCCTCTGTCCTGTAGAGCTGATTGTGATCAGTAACAGCATGAGTGAGTACCCCTACCACTGCCTGTTCTGTACCCAGCATCCTCAGCCAGTCACACCTCGGAGGAAGATTAGGCTGTTGCCTTTTTCTCTCCATATTGATCTAGTATCCTTCTGTAGATCTGGAAGTAGCAAAATGTCTTGCTATAACATAGGTCTTTTGCTCTCAAGTTGGGTGTGTAATTGCTTCTGGATCATATATTCCCTGTCTCCTTCAGTGGGGGGAGCTGTATTAATAATCCACTCTGCAGTCAACTGAGTCTTTAGTATTCTTTTGGGCTATTTCTCACCAAATAATGCTGATCCTCTGGTCCGATTAAAAAAAATCGCACTAAATGTTCCCTTTTGCTTATGCATCTGTTTTCTCACAGCAAAATTTTTTGACGCATGGGAGCAACATGCGTGATGTTCAGAACACAAAACAGTAAATGGATAGCAGCAATGGCAGCTCTTGTCTGCAAAAATCTGCGGTGAAACCATGGTAATGTATTGTCATAAATGAAGTTTTATTACAGCCATGTCAGAATACTATCAAAAGAACAAGTGCTACTGTCTGTTTCCATGGAGATCTTTCCCGTTCCCTGGGGAGCCGAGGAATCGCATGGTATTGTGCAGCTATGCCAGCTGCAATTAGGCAAGCACACTGCTTGAGAAATACACATGTGGACACCCAGCAGTGACTGTGGACAACAACGGCCAAACACGTGTACACTGCGCTAACAGGCTTTTTAAAATGCCACTAATTTTCATATATTCAAAACTAATGCAGCGCAGTGAGTTGAACTAGGTTTTATAAGAATGCTTAGGCTCGGGCAGAGGAAGGTACAGAATCAAGGGGGTGACAGAGGTGCGCAAGGGAAGATGACGGGAGGTATAAAGAGCTTACTGGTGAGGGATATATGTGTAAGCATGATCAGCAAATAGTTACCTGCTTATTTCTTAATTTGTGCACATACCTACTTCTGTTTGAGGTGTTTGAGAGAAGAAGGGTATGTTTCCTTGTATGTTTCCTTGTTTCCTCATGTTAGACCTTTGCTAAAATATCCTAAGCAACTTGGCCTACAAAGGCCGATTTACTACTGGTAGGATTCTTTGAGTCAACTTGCTAATTCAGTCATTCTTTAAATTAATGCCAGGGAACTTCCATTTTTATTATTTTTTAAAATGATCCATTTTAGTGTTGTTTTGTATTTGTGTTCACTTTTTATTTTATTTTACTTTTTTTTAACATTGAAACTTGTGGATGTGCTAATCAAATTTAACACTACCTCTTGTTATATCAAAGCCTGCAATATATCTTAGGCATGTATTTGGCCAGTTTCTTAACTTCTTTTGTTTAGCTGAAATGTTTATGTCTATTACAACAATAGAAAGTGGTGAATGTTGCAGTAAATGCTTTAAATTTGTATGTGTTTGTATCAAACTATTTGGATGAAGATGTTTGTGCCCCGAAGCACATGTTTATACTCCTGTTTAGCCCTCCCTGCGCCAAAGTATGTTCCAAGATGTTGAGCAGCCAATTGCAAGTATGAGAGGATTTTTTTTTTTTTTTGTAAAATCCTGCCCAGATTCCTTGGCATCTTCATAGAATACCAGCAGCAAGTACTGGAATGGTTTTCCAGGCTGGTAAGAGTCATAGCTGATAACGGATTCATTTTATGTGTAGTAACTAAGCTAGGTCCCTTCAAGCTGTGTGGTAAGTACAGTTGGCTGATGAGCAAAGGAATATTAATTTCCTTTTCTACCTAGGGTGCTGTTAAAGCAATTACACTTAGCGGAAATGCGCCAGTACGCTGCTCTGGAAATTGTAGTGTACTGCTTTGCTTGTCTTACTCCTCCAGAGGACATGGTATGGTTTCCAAAAGGTGGTGTTTCCCTCAGTCTTGACCTCCCAGGCTTGGAAGTGGAATACGCTGCTTTTCTGTGCCCGTCTGCTGAAGGCTGAAGTGTTGGATGGTACGTTAACCAGCACAGTGATTTGAGAGAGCATTCCCTGAAGAAATCATTTTTGAATCAAATGAAAGATTATGCCATCTTGAAAAAGCTGTTCCACTTCCAAGTAGAGTTGTATACCTCCTTTGAATCAGCTTCAGTATAGATTTGTAAGCAACATGTCTTCAATGGGACTGAAGGTTTTGGTGTCCTCTGTTGCATTTGTTCCAGGATTCAAGTAGCTCCTAGGTGAAGGCCTTCTGTTAGGATTGAGAGCACATATCTTTAAAGATAAAATCCTAAGGACTACATCATAGTTGTGGGGTGGAGGTGGAGGGAAATATATCACAGCGTGGAAGTCGAGTGGAGGTATGAAAGCAGAACTGAACTGGATTGACTGACTTGCCTTATAGAACTGGGCACTGATACGAAAAAAACAGAAGGTCTCAAGTTCTTACATACCACTAACTATGAGTTAGAGGGTGACAAATGTTGTGGTGATGGTGTAACCCGACCCAGTGAATGTTAGCGGTGAGCATCCATATGCTTGCTTGATCTGGTGACGTTTGGACAGCTGATTTACGTGTGATGTTATAGGGTCCCTTTCTGAAACACAGTGAGCAGCCTCATCCATTTAAAAAAGACTATTTCCTTAATGAGTAGCAAGAAATATTATCAGTCTAAATGAGTCTAAATGAACTCATTTCCATTAGATTATTCTGCTTGCTCTTGGGTAGGTTTTTTTTTTTTTACTGTGATATTTTAAGAGTCCAATTTAGCTTTCTGTGCATATAACCATAAAATTACTTCTCTTTTAGCAAGACAGTAAGATGTTTTCAATCACCTGTTGAGAAGTGCATGTAGGAACATGGTCATGTCCTGTTTGGAGTGATTATTTGTAGGCCTGTTCTTCTGATGCTGTTGAGAACCTGTTAATATTGAGGAACCTTGATAAAGGCATGTTTACAGGGGTTAGCATGGATTCCTTTTTGCCCTTAAGACTGTATTTGTCCATAAATACCAATGTTTTTGCACATATCCAGTGTTGACTCATGTTAACTCACTTATGGAGAGCACTGCTTCCATCTGCTTCTATTCTGCATGTTGGAGTAGCCATTCCAGAATCCCAGGCACATCTGGAGAGAACAGGCTCATGTGTACAGTGTGTCATATGTTCATAATAAATACTATATAAATACACTGTAAATGTACCATATGTTTCATAACTAACTTAAAAGTGGATGTCTACCTTTATAACTGGTGGAAGCTGTTGGACAACTCATCTTGTTGAATCTTCTGGGGAGGGAGAGGCAGCCTTTCCTAAGGGGCCTGCTGTGCAGGGGGACTGCTTGTCAGTCTGACTTGTAGCTGGACAAGCGCTGTCAGGTAGGATAATAAGGATTGTGGATATTGACTGGCAATAGACACTAGAATAACTAGAATAATTCTGCTGTTCTTTGAATAAGTGATTGAATTACAGTTCTTGTATTTGAAGGCCGAGTTACTGTCTTAATAGGAAAAGTTTTACTTCAAAAAATTACGGTTAAGCTGTACACCTTCAGTTTGATGTTATAGCATCGTCCTTTTTTGTATGGAACCTGCAGAGCTCAGGCAGTTTGAGACATTAGCTCTCTGTGTCCCCAAACAGTGATTAAATGTAGGCAGTCACTCATAAGATTTGCAAAATGTATGGGACCTTTAATTAACACTGATAACTTCAATCCTTTTGCATTTGAAAAGTGACTAGAGAATTCGTCTGAAAGTAGGAAGCAGTAATTAGGAGACAGCACTGAAGAATTTCTTCCTCCCCCCAATACATGCTGCTTTCTCATATATATGCCTATGCAGTCTTTTCTTGTATATATGTTAAATGAATCTGTTGTCTGGCTTGTGGCATGTTTTTAGGGATGCTATGGTCAGACCTTGATATATGTACTCCTACAAGCTAAACAGGATTTCCTTGTAGATTCCAGTAACAACAGGTTTTGAGAAACTAAGGAATCGTGGTTCTTGTAGCTCTGGGTGCAGGCAGAGTTATAAAGCATTTCAAGTCAATTCTGACCAAAGCTATTCTGACATTGACACAAATATGCTGCTGTCACACTGGGCTGACTGGAATCTGCTCCCTAACTCTGCGTTTGTCACTTGTCTGTTGCAGGGATTTACCTCAGTATGGGCAAAAGCAGTGGCAATCCTATTTTGGGCGAACATTTGACGTTTATACCAAACTCTGGAAGTTTCAGCAGCAACATCGGTAAGGGAACGTTGTAGGCAGACATGTTCTGTGGATTTAAGTGTGACTTTAATCTCTGGTGTGCCTAGGGGCCCCAGCGAAGATTGAGATTTCACTGTGTTATTCAAGCATGAAGGGAGGGAATAGTCACTTCCTGTAGTGCTCACAGTCTAATGAATTAAAATGTTGCAGAGTTTTCAGTGTGACTTTTTTAACAAAACCTTTTGCTCTACTTGAATGCATGTTGCTTTAATATATTACCAAGGAGAAGCTGGGATGATGGCCTCTGCAATGCAGAACCCATCTGGAATGGTGTGAAGCATCTTGCTGCAGCGTGGGCTCTGATCTTTCACACCTTACATTGGTTGCGTAGTCTGAGTGTTCTCCTGGGAAGTTGTGACCTTTTGTTGTGTGTATTTTGTGCAACATACTTATGTCTAGCTCTTGCAAGTTTATGCAAGATAATTGGTGCTTGTTCTGGTGTGTGTATGCAGTGCTGTTGGCTCTGTGAGGGACTACTACTGGGAATGCCACACCAGTAATGAAAGCTGAATTTGGCCCTACAACGGCTCTTTGTCTTGTCTGGTGTCATGTTCTGAGAAATTCTGGAATGCCTTTTAATCTTTCTTTTCTCTCTTGCGAAATAGACAAGTATTGGACAATCGGTATGGGTTGAAGCGGTGGCAAATTGGGGAAATTGCTTCCAAGATTGGGCAGCTCTATTACCATTATTAGTAAGTAAGCACAGAAAAGGATTCAGTAGGGGAATGCAGTGTTAGTGGCAGCTCTATGCCAAACATCTGGATACTCAGTCAGGAGAAATGAATGTATCAGTTGAGTCATGATGCCTGTTTCTGAATGAGAAGGCCCTTGGGACTGCATGGGGGTGCTGCAGAGAAAGGCACCCGTGAGCCCGATACCACATTGCTAGTCACATTGATACTGCCTAAGGACTTACCTCCTGCCTCAAAAGTGTCTCTAAGTCTTCCCTGTGTGCTGCATTCAACTCTTGTGCAAAAGTGTGATTTACAAGTTTGGGAGCTTAATGTTCCTTTAAACTTTTGAGTTAACCTGTCACCTGTACATATGGGCACAAGATGGGCAGATTTGATTGTTATCTGAAATGGAATCCAAGCTCTGAAATCTATCTTCCCAGCAGGCACAAAGAATGAGAGTCTGGCTTTCATATGATGTTACTTGAGGAGGGAGTTTTGCCATTGATGCACAAGATTGTCGAGGGGGCAGGAAGGGAGGGTTTGGCATGGATTTCCACCTGAAGCAGTGAGCTAATCTGGTTCTTCCTCTGCAGCTTGCGCACTTCAGAAACCAGCTATCTCAATGAAGCTTTCTCCTTCTATTCAGCAATTAGGCAGAGGTCATACTACTCCCAAGTCAACAAAGAAGACAGGTATGTCTGAATGAATGCCCCCGTTTTTTCAAGGCTAAACGGTGTATGAAAGCCCCAAATAACTACAAACTGTAGAAGCACAACTGGGATAAAATCAGTGTTGTTGGAGGAAGTTTCTTTTAATCCTCCTGCCATGACTTTGCTGTATGACTGGAGGAATATTCTATTATCTGGGCCTGGCTAGAAAGCTATTGGCCCCAAAGTTTTGTCATTTTGAGTCCCGAGCAGTATCAGTGCTGGGACCCAGTATGCTGTGGCTGGAAGATAAGTCAGTTGGGCTGAAGGAGAGGAACCTGTTTGATTCTAATAAGGCTTTTCAGGGGAACATCAGTTAGTACTGCAGTACAACAGCCTTCTGTAACAGACTGGGACAAGGTCCAAGAGCTTCAGGAGGCATAACGTCTTCCTTTTAAGACACTATACTAAGAAAGGTACACTCAAAGCAGGGCTGTGTTGCGGCAGCGCGGAGAATGTGCTGCCTGCCAAGAACATAGGCAGATATAAATAGGAATAGGTGGAGAACTCAGTTCTGGATCCTGATCTTACATTCTAGCCAGTAAACTTGGGTTCCCTCATCAAAGTAAAGAAGAAATGATCTGAAGTCATCATCAAGATAAATGCAGAAGGTTCGTTGGGGAGTTTCCTGCCAAGCATTCAAGGACCTCTGGACTTAAACTAATTGCACGTCTCCAGTCTTGCTGATGTCTAAATGCACCGGTGTGCCACAAAAAGATGATGTTTCCCTGCTCTGTTCTGATATCTGTTGATCCTATTATCTTCTCTCTTAAAAAATCTCTCAACTTCAGTCTGAGTGCTTGAGCTGTTTCAGAGAAGGTAGGATTGGCCAAACATGTTTCTAGATGCTGTCAGGAGGTTTTAGAAATGGATGAGTAATTATGGGCTATACTGACTTGCAGATCTCTAAGTTGTCCCAGGTGGGTGAACTCTGAGCCAGCTGTGATTATCACATGATGCAGTGGGGTCAGATATTGCCCATGAACTGTCAAAAGGTTTGAAGAGCCAGCTATTGTATCTGACTCCCATGCCTGTTCTCATGTAAGGAGACTGTGGGGAAGGGGGAGGATGTGGCTTTCTTGATGTATATTTTATGTCCCTGTACTCAATTTTAAATAAACCTCTAAGCAGCCAGGTAGCTATTGATATTCACGTGAATTCAGTTAGAATTCTTAATCTGCAGAGTGTTCAGTCTTGCTCTAGTCTTAAACTCCTCCTCTCCCTTACCCCTGTTGCCTACCTATGTTCTATTTTAATCTCAAATTTGGCTGTGGTGTTTTTGTTGTTGTGTTTAGGCCTGAATTAGTGGTTAAGAAGCTGCGTTACTATGCAAGGTTTATAGTGGTTTGTCTCTTGCTCAACAAAATGGATGTTGTAAAGGACCTTGTAAAGGTATGTTAAAATGAGGATAAAGGTGCTAAGGGGTGGGAGGTTGCTGGTTATTCAGGACTTTTTTCCTAATTAAGGAATCCATAATATAGTCTATTTCAGTTGAAATACTACTCATTAGATCTAAGATGTTAGCTGCTGTTGCAGCATAGCTTTTCTTTTTTTTTTTTTCCTCATTTAATTGATTGTGCTGTTGGATGCCGCAGAAGGAAGGAATAACATGGCTGGAGCTATGGAAAGATTCAGTATGATGTGAACATTTGGCTAGAGAAAAACTTGAAAAATGTATATAGTTAGGAATAAACTGTAAGATGCATGTTATTCATGTGAAAGTGTGGGGATCATCTGGTAACTCTGAGTACATCTTCATTCCTGTAGTGGATTTAAGACATCGGTGGAATCTCCTCCAGCAAGTCTTCATGACACACACTTGCTTGGAAAGCCAGTGTCTCCTAGCTTGATGTTGAGCTTATTTCTCCTCCCTTCCAAACTGCTATCACTCTGCCCCATGTCTAGAACACAGCTTGAATACATTTTGCACCTTCTAGAGACCCATCAAAATTAAACCTTGCTAAATGATGTCGATATTACTATGAAATTGGAGAGGCTGGATCTGCATATGCCTCTGCTGTGGGAGTAAAGCACTGAATGCCTATAAACACAATCTTTAGGTGCAACAAATAGAGTACAGGCCAATGTTGATCATTGCTTTTCTAGTATATCTGACATCCAACGTAGTGAATGTCTTCTGTGAATCAGACATTTAATAATGACACTTTAAGCTCAAATGATTTGATAGCATTGTTTGAACACCAAGAAAAAATACTCTAATAGCTGCACCCTAGATCGGGAGGTATCCTTTAACTACAACAAAGGAACAGCATGCTTCTCCTGACAGCATATGCTTCCCAAACCCCTCTAACAACCTTGCTGCAAGCAGCTTCTGGTATTGACAGTTTTGTGTAGGTTGCATTACTGTCTTTGTGTCTAAGCTTACTTGAACTGCTAGCTTAGCTTAGTAGCAGCTAAAAAAGCCATAACATTCACTTTCTCAATGTATTTAAAGTTACTTGTGAGCTGAAATTTGAGTCCTTGGTATCCATAGCTTATGGTAATAACCAGTGACATAGCTGTATGTGAGTGTGATAGTTATACTTAACTCCAGATATTCTTTGCATTTGGACCTACTTAAAAGACACTTTGCACTGCCAAAACTCAGTGTAACATTGGCATTCTGTCTCCCAAAAGAGCGCGTTTTGGCTGGCATGTTTAGTCATAAGTGTGCTGCATATGTTCTCAAGTAATTTTTTTTTTTTTAATTATTCTTAAAGGCCAGCACAGCTAACCAAATTGTAAAGTTACTGACTGCATGTTAAGCTCTCAGTTTAAGAAGTGACTATGTCTGTCTTTGAACTTTTTACATCAGGAGCTGTCAGATGAAATCGAAGACTACACTCATCGTTTTAATACTGAAGATCAGGTGGAGTGGAATCTGGTTCTTCAGGAAGTGGCAGCGTTTATTGAGGTGAGAATACTGTTCCCTTTTAGTTGTTAGTTTAAAAGTAACATTTTCTGACTTGTTCACCAAAGTGTTCCTGTATCACTACCTCTGTGTGGTAAGCAGGTGTGCCACGTGCAGGGACAGTATTTCTGTCCAATTTAATCATTGAATTAATCACGCTATATGGTAGCGTAACAGTGGCAGCTGTTAAAGTGTCTGAAGAGTCAGACCTGGGCATGTAATGTATTGAAGACAGAAGTATGAAGATGAGATACACTTGGTCATCTTCTTGTTTTTGCTCTTGGTGTTCAGAAAATGGTGGAATTGAAAGCACAGCAGCTACCATGGTCAATATTTTGGAGAGACTGCCAACTCTAGTTCTGTTGTTGTGGAAGCCAATCCAATTTGCTGATGTTTTGATTGTGTTTCAACATGTACTTTGTTGGAGTACTGGTCTCTCATACTGCTTATGCATTGCCAGCGTATAATGGACAATACGGTGTAATCATGGCAGTTAACTAATAGGCTCTTAGCATGTTTGTAATGCGATCAACTTCTCAAGTTTGTTAAAAGGAAAACAAACTTGTTTATTCTGTCAAATGAGACAGTGTTCTACTTTCCTCCTTTTGTACAAGATGTCACTATGTAACACAAGTATTTATTTAAATATTGCCAGAGTGGATGGCAGCATTATCATTTGGTCATCTTCTTTGCTATTAATCCCTAGGAAGGGAAGGCGAACTAAAATAGTGCAGGATTCTTCTGTATTGTAGGAATGTTTAGTTTATTCTGCGTGAATTTGTAAGGATGTTGATGACATTTGGTTCCTCAGGTATAGAAAAGCTGAAGCAGAGGTCATGTCATTTGAGGAAGTATGTTTTTTTTATTTGCTGTACCTTCAGGTACTTGTACTGTGTATTTGCTTGCAGTCCCAAAGAGCTGTTGCTTTTCCAGGTGGTGAGGCATTACTCTGTAGCCTGCATACAAATATACAAATATATATATGTATGACAAATTAATTTTAATAATCTGCCTCAGTTATGAAATGTTTACTGTGAGCGACAAGGCCTTTGGACTTCTCTCTGACTACAAATCTGTATATTTTCTTGAATTCCTGATTTATTCTGGTTGCTTTTTTAGGCAGACCCTGTCATGGTTTTAAATGATGACAACACCATTGTAATCACCTCTAACAGGCTTTCTGAAACAGGAGCTCCGTTGCTAGAGCAGGGAATGATAGTGGGACAGCTTGCTCTTGCAGATGCGCTGATTATTGGAAACTGCAACAACCAGGTAAAAGAAATTCCGGGGACTTGGGTTTGTATCTTTGGAGTTCAAAGTCCTTCCCCATTTGACATCCCTTCTGATCATACAACAGAGATTCCAATAGAGGTGAACATTTAAATATTTTGATTGTGATGTTTGCAGTGGCAGCAAGAAGAAGTAGTTCTCAGAAATAAGAGCTAAAAATGAAATGTTAGATATTAGACCTGTGGTACTGACCTCTTATTGCTTATATTCATCATGTCAATTAAGTAGATACAATTGATTTTCATATACTAAATTGTTCTTAACAACATTCAAGCATGAGAGGCCTCTGGGCTATGTCTAGAAAAAGCTTGACTTAAGGTTTCACACGACATACTCCAGCTTGTTGCAACTACAGTTGCAACAGGAAGGAGTTTTCAAAGGACATTCAAGATCTTGTTTATTAGATGATGATTATGATGATAGTGAAGTTGTACAGACTTCATGACTTCTCTCTGAGATAATTTTTCAGGTAAGCAAGGGAGTTGTATCTAAACTACAGTCTGTGTATCTCTTTCAGATTTTATCTAAATTCATAGTACTAGTGTTTTCAGCACTTGGTTTGTAAACACCCCGGAAAAGTCTGTAATTTGCGAAGTAGGGGTCTGCAATACAGTCAGCTGGCCTAACAGACCAGTAATAAATAGACTTTGTGAGCTCTTCTAAAAGTCACTCAGAGGTCTTTAGAGATTCAGAGGTGGCACTGACAGAGATCCCTGAGAGACAGAAAATGGTCTGTCTGGTATGCAGTTGAATCTCTTACCTGGATAATTCCAAAGAAATACTGTTTCATCTGTATCTGGCAGAGTAAACTGTTTGACTCTTTTGCAGGTCAAGTTCAGTGAATTAACAATTGATATGTTCCGAATGCTACAAGCACTTGAAAGGGAACCAATGAATTTAGCTTCACAAATGAACAAACCTGGAATGCAGGTAAGTTATATTTCAGTGACAAACCTGGCAGCAGATCTTAACTGGGTTTTGTTTGTTTGGTTGGTTTTCAGTATTGTCATTGTTCAGAGCAGGTTAGTAAAACTGGTTAACTCTTACTAGAAGTTAGCAAAGAGTAGCTCAAACCTGTGGAGTTTGATCCAAGTAATGTCTTCCCCCCCCCTTAGCAAACCTTCAATAGTGAAAAAATAGCAGAAATTAATATTTGGGCATCATTTCACTGATGGTTTACATTTGTCTAGCTGAGGTGCTTCTGAAGGGGTGCCATGCCTGTCCTTGTCAATATACACTCACCCCTTCCTTTGTTTTCACTCTAGTAGTCATGCAGCCAGGTAAGTTCATCAGCTTGCTAAGTCATCTGAAAGTTAAATATCCCCTTCAGAGAAAGCATAAAGATATTTTATCTGGAGGCAAAAGGAAATACCTAGATTTTCATTTATTTAATTGAGAAGTGAATTTTTTCACTCTTTTCTTGGGTGATGCTTTAGAGAGTAAGAAAGATTTAGGAAACATTTAAGTGAGGGATTATACAAAGTTCTGGTTCAAATGCTGTGCATCTTGCTTTACTGTGCAGTAGGAAATGCAGCATGGGCAGACCATTTGTGTAGGAAGTATGTTGAAGATGAACATTCTAATAAATAGAAATTTAGACAGTTATGAAACTGCTTTGGTAATATACAGTTGTTGGTTTTTTGTGTTGTATTTTGTTTGTTTGTTTGTTTGTTTTTTAACAGGAGTCAACGGAGAAACCAGCCAGGCGGGAAAACCCTCATAAATATCTACTTTATAAACCAACTTTTAGCCAGCTATATACATTTTTAGCAGCATCATTTAAGGTTTGTGAAATTGGTGAATTTCTTTGTAACAGAAAAACATCCAGCATGGTATGTGACACTGAATAAAATGCAGTTGAGATAATCTTTTATATTTCAAGATAATGGCCTTCTTAAAATGTTCAATACCATCTTCAGAGAGGATGGAAATATTATAGATATGGGTAATTTGTATAGTAAAGGCAAATCTGTTGACTGCTGTTAAGGGAAAGAAAAAAGTTCATTTTGAGACAGAAACACAGCTTGCTGTTATACAGAAGTTGTTATATCATTGCTAAAATATAGCCATCTTCAAAGTGAAGCTTGAACAACTCCTGTGCAAGCGGTCTTCGTACTGGCTGTCCAGTATCAAGAGTGGTGCATGGCAATACCATGGAAAGCCTAAAGTAATGTGATATAATGTAATGGTGGCATATAATTTAATCTTACCCAGTAATTTTATTTGTGCACGTGTATGTACACACACACATATATATACAGACATATATATAAAAATAAGTGTTTCCTATATAAAGTATATCTATTTCCTAGAGAGAGAGAGCTATTATATAGGAAATATTTCTTGAGATAAGAGATCTGGGGAACAGAAAAATCTTAAGAGTATTCTTCTACTTCACGTTGTGCCAAACACAATCCAAAATCAGGGAAGTGTGTCAAGAAACTGTTGCTCTTAAGCACTGTATACCTGGTAGGTCTCCAGTTCTGTATCCCATTTGAATTGTATCTCTCTGCTGCATGTGCTATATTTTTATCTGTCTGTCTTATTTTGTTACCCACTGCTCTATTCCATGTAAGTAATCTATACATTTGTAGACTTTTTTTAATACAGTTGCTGTGCTTATTTTAATAAAGTTGCTGGGCTAATTATTCTTAATTATGACTGTACAAATCAGCAACTTAGGATTTAGTAGCAAAAACAGAATATGAATCCTATAAAGAAACAAGTTTCAGTTTGTTTCAAGAAACAACTGTAAAGAAACAGCTGGTGAGGTGAAGGAAGTGCATCCTTACTACTTAGAATTTTGGGTGCCTGCATGCTCAGCCTTTTGCAGAAATTAAAAGCATCTGTTTCCTCATGCAGACCTCCCATTAGAAAGGTAGAAAATAGATTTCTTTTACAGGTGTCGTGGTTTAACGAATTGTCCTGCCGAAACCAGGACAATATGTCTATACAGAAACCTGAATGTGTTGCGCTTGTTGTCCAGCTCAGAAGGGTTGGGGGAAGAGGCAGATGTTGCAGACTCTGGGGTATCGGGAAACAAAGAACTTCCTTTAGGATACTGAATTGTTTGGGAGTTAGGGTCTGCATGGATCTTGGCAGCTTTTGGTTTCTGTATATTGGAAAGCCTCAGATCTGGCTAGATAGTAAGAGAGTCTATGTGGAAGCAGATGCTTTTTTAGTGCTGCTTGAACCTCTAATATCAGCCTAGAGGTCTATGTGGGAAGAAAAGTTTGAACGTATCATCAGTTTACGCTTTTGTCTGTGTACTCAACTATTTGAAGGGGTGTATGTGGTGGGGAAGGGTATATACACGTATGAAGAATAAGAGTGAAGGGAAGCCAGAAGCAGGAGTAGCACAATCTTAAATGACAATGGTTTTATTAATGTGATGGTTGAATATTAAAATAAACTTATACATTTCTTCCCTTGCCACTCTTCTCTTTATTTGAATTTCAGGAGCTGCCTGCAAACAGTGTACTGCTGATATACTTGTCTGCCACGGGCGTGTTTCCATCAGGTCGTTCGGATAGTGAAGGTACAATAAAGGAATGCTCCCTGTCATGAACAGGGCTTGAATTCTCTGTATGTTCCAGGACAAGTGACCAAGAAAGATGTCACAAAGCTCCTTTTAAAAGACAAGTCAATTTTATTTTCCTGTCTGCTTAGTAAGGTAGCCTTTTTTTTTCCACAAACAATAGTTAATTCCCTGTGTTTTAATTAGTGTGCACTAACCTGAGACCTTTTCAAAGGACATATCCAGTTTCTGATGCATCTGAAGTATTAAAAGCTTCATCAATTTTGAAGACCACGTGGCTCAAATGATGCATCAGTGCAAAGTTAATAAAATGGCTAAATGGCACTTTGTGATTCTCTCCAATCTCCAGTACTATGAGAACATTTGGTCAGGAGATGGGTGGTAAAAGGGCTGAAGTGTCTGCAGGGAATGTTCTATTTGCACGCTTGTTAACCTGACAATTCAAGCCCTTCTCATGATTTTTGACAATTCCCCTCACCTCATCCTCCTGTTCTTTGCAACCTAGCAGAATATTTGGATGCAGCTGCAATCTAAAAGCTGAAAACTGGTTGGCTGAAGTAGACACAATCAAAAGATTTGTTTATATAATTTAAGGAAAAGACAAAAAGAAAAAGTTTTTAACATCCTAAATATTGTACACGCCTCATCTGTTTGAGACTTGCATTCCTTTATAAGATGCATGCCTTGTCCATCCCAATGCATGATTTATAGAGCTCTCAAAATGTTAAAGGAAAAAAAATCCCTGTCAGCTTTGGACTGTGGCAGTGATTTTTTTTTTTTCAAATGCTTTTAACATTTTACTTTTTGCTGCAACTTGGTGATAGGTTCTAACTCAACTGTGTTCTTTAAAGCCTGTGTTATGTCCACTTCACTGCATGTATTGTTTCAGCTTAATACCTTACTGTAGAGGCATCCAGGCTCTGTCATCTGAAGAGCTGCATGGTCAGACTTCAGTTTTCATTAAATGAATCCCATTACAACTGCATTCTTTTAATAAGGTAGTGTAGTCTGCACAGACCAAAAAGTTCTACCTTTATTAAAAGGGAGAGCAGCTGCAAGTTGCACTGTTTATCGCCTGTAAGCCATTTATGTTTGACAGGTCACATGAGACATTTGTAACAGTGCTAAATTAATGTATGTTCTGTTCCTAATTTTGTATTCCCAAAGCTTCCCTTAAAATGGAAAGGTGTCTTATGTATCCAAACCTGAAAAAATTGCATTTGGTGGCCAAATATGAGTCAACCAACTCTGCAAAAGTGTAACAGAATGAGGAAATCCTAATACTTTCTTTTACTAATGTTAGTGACATTTCATACCCATATCAATGGCAGAAATATTTCCTGGTATCTCTAGCACATTTTTTTTTGTGTAGTATTTGGTATTTTTTATAGCCATTACTTTCATCTTTGCTCTCCATCAGACAGACAGGCGGGTAGCTCAGTTGTGCAAACTTAGCAGAATATTTCTTTATCTTACCTTAGGAACACATGTCCAGGCTGTGTGCATTTAAAAACTGTAAATTCTGTATTTGAAATCTTAAACAATAAACCTTTGCTGCAGATTTGAAATCTGGTTAAAACTGTTTTCTCCTTTGTAGGAGTATTGAAAGCTTGTTCATTCTTTGAGCTTTCTCTTCTCCCCTTTGCAGTGCTATAACTGCAGATGATAATACTATATCTATTCTGAGAGGCTACAGGGTTTTTGATTGCTTGAGCCTTATTTTTTGATCAAAATCTGAATCTAGAATATGCTAGCCCATATAGTAAGTTTACAAAGGTATTAATTTTCCTGGATGAAATGTGTAATGACTTTTAATCTTTTTGCTATGTAGTGTAACAAGAGCCAGTATTTGGATCTTTTGTATTATGTTTGTGGATAAATACTGAATAAATAAATTAGAAGTTACTAAGTTGGATTGCTTGCTTCTATTTGATAGATGCTGAAACTACTAAAAATGCATAAAATTGAATATGTAGTTAGTAAAGCCTCCACATTCCTCCATCCCATCCTTACAACTACAGTAGATCAGATTCACTTAGTTTCCTGGGATTTGTGGTTGCTTCCTCCCTTTCATATAATCATTAAATCCGTACCAGAGGTGAGTTACCTCTGCTGATTTTAGCTTTCTTTTTGCCATGTGTAGGTCCATATGATTTTGGTGGTGTTCTGACAAATAGTAACCGGGACATTATAAATGGGGATGCTATCCACAAGCGAAACCAGTCTTACAAGGAGATGCACTGGTAAGTTTCATGAGCGTGACAACTGCAAATTCAGAAGAATTTGTCTTTAATAGAGAAAATGCATCAAAGCCTCTTGAATTCAAACTCTTCAGTGCAGGACATCATAATGTAGATTGGCTTGAATTTGAACAATTGGAAATGAATATGCAACTCTAAATGATGATTTAAACAGTCCAAAAGTATTACTGTGACTTAAGGTAAATTCTTTATTACTGAAAAACTTCAAATTAATGGTGGATGATGTCTCAAGAAGATAAACATCTCTTGTTGGGAAAGAACTAATAAGAAGTCCAATAGCCCATGTTATAGAGAATACCAAATTAGTTTTGCGGTTATTCTCTGAGGATGAATCTGAGGACTGGGGCTTGAGGAATGTGCTTGCTTTTTATCTGGACACGGGCGACTGTGTGTCTGAGAAACCTGTGCACTGTCACAACTTTGCAGCAATTCTAGCGCTCTGTGAAGCGTCCCTTTCTCTTTACAGTCTTCACCCTGGAGATCTCTACCCTTTCACAAGAAAGCCCCTGTTTATCATTGTGGACTCCTCAAACAGTGTTGCCTATAAGGTAAGGCTCTTGAAGGCAGCTACTCTTATAATAGGATACAGTGTCAACCCCTAGTTAGCTTACACTTTTAACAGGCTATTTTTTTAAACAGTTTGTATTCAGTCTTTCTTTTCTTTTGAGGTTGTGCATGCTAGTCAGGATCTGATCCTATGAATAGGAACAAGAAGGAGAAGCACATGAACAGCCGCTCATTGGAAAGTAATAAATCCTCCTGGAGGGAAAAAAGGTTCAAGATTTCCAAGGTCTCTGGTGGGAGGTTTATTTTTGTTATATACCAAAGCCAAATCTTGGTGTGTGTGCATGGGGGAGGGAGATTACTAATCTGCCTTTTTTTTTTCCAGTCATCCAACACTCAGTTGCTTTTAAGCAACAGAAAGGAGTCAAAGCATTGAGCCTGATCTTATAAAACACGGGGTGTCTCTGTCTGAAAAGTATCTGAACCAAGGAAATAACAAGACTCAAATTAGCATCCAGTGTTACTGTAGAGTGGTATATGCATGGACAATGAGCCTCCTTCCTAGGGCGCTATGGACTTACAGTAGAATTACTCCATATCAAATCACCTTTGGGAATCTGCAATTCGGGTAATACAGAAGCAGGCATTTTCAATCTTAGTTGCCAGTTGCATCTGGATAGCATTACGACATTTATTTCATTCATGAATGGGATATTAAGAATGTGCTATATCTGGGGAAAGTGCCACTTCCTTACGTCTTCCTTTTTATAGTTCCATTATTTGCAGTGAGAGAAGTGAACGTTCACAGCTGCATTTCAGAGGAGGAATAGGGACGTCTAGTGGCCAGATGAACTTGTTCCTTGTTCAGTATCCACAGTCTGTGTCATTTGTTTTAAAGGCATTTGTTGGCCAATGAGAGGTACGAAATCAGTGATCAGTATGATTCAGAATAGTTCTGTATCGAGCCAGGGAACTTTTACCTGACAGTCTTAATAATGATCTGGCCTCTCTGTAGGGTTTTTGGTTTGTTGTATTGTAATGCATTTCAAAGGACTTCTTAAATACTACTGTATTTAACTTCACCACACTAAATTTCAGTGCAAATCTGCTTTTTATTAAATTGCCTTCCCCATTTAAAGGAAGGGAAATAAAATCAGAATGGTTTATTTGTCTTTCTGAGAAAATGAGTATTTGGTAGGGATTTATTTTCCTCTGCTCTTTCCAGTGTAACAACGCGGGGGGGTGGGGTGGGGTGTGTGTGTGCATGTGGTTTTGTTTCAGGTTAGAAAGTGTGGCTTGGGTTTGGGTTTTTGTTTCATTTTGGTTTTCTTACCCCCTTCCTCTCTAGTAGAATTGCTGAAAGATGTCAAGTGGATCAGCTCTGTAAGAGAGAGTAAGGGATTCCTGGTGATCGTTAATTCAAATACAGCTCTGGACATACCAGGGTTCTGTGGACAGCTTAGAGCAAAGGATCTTTTTGAGGTGATGGATTCCCACGTGTAGATTTGTAGCTCTTGTGAGAATAACTGTCAAGTGTTTACATTAGAATTTGCTTTTTGTGTTACATTTAAATTTGATGATTGAATTTTCTTTAGATTTTGTGGGCACGCAGTAAGCAAAACCTGTAACTTCCATTTAGTTTCTTTTCCTTGTTCCGCAGTGAACTGACCATCAGTGGTGTAAAATACACCAGTGCTCCGTCTGTTAAGCACACAGAGCAGCTGGTGTGAGAGAAGTCCAACTCTGCCTGTATGTAAGGAGTATAGAAATGTGAGTTTTGGAAGTATTTTGGGACAGGATTATGGAAATGGCTACTAGGAGCTCTGACCCAGATCAGAATCATGTGGGCACAATTGTGAGGAATCTAAAAAGAGAATGAAGGGGGGGGAAGAGCAGGGACCCCTATTTAAAAAAATGTATTTAGCATTTGAGAACACACATTCACCTTCACAATCTATTGCCATTGAACCTAGGCAGATAGATGTGTGGCTATGGGTTTTGGTGTTTTGTTTTGTTTTGTTTTCAACTGAAGGTAGGTGGCAGAGCTCTCAATCTCAGTATTTTCTAGCCCTTGTAAATTCCTGTCTGCTGTCGTCCTGTGCGTGCTTATGTGCTTGGTTCCTTGTCACCAGAATATACCGGTAGTGCTGTCCTGTGACTATCCTCTGGGTGTGTTGAGAGATGCTTTGTAGACTCAAGCACTGGCACAAACAAAGGTTCTGTGCAGTTGTGTGAGAAGTTGAAGTCAGTGCACTGACTTTTTTCCACATGGCTGCTCTGATCTTTTCTGATAGGACAGTAGCTATCCTGACATTTAAATGTCACTGCTAGCAATACTGGCAGTAACAGCAACTGCTCACACATCTTTTTCTACAAGCCGTTTCTGCTCTCCTGCATGCATTCTCATCCTCTTCCTCTCTCTGGAGGGCTTAAATGGTGATGACTGAAAGTAAGTCCTGCCAGGAAGTGACTTGCCAGTTTGTCAAATCAGCGGCACTTGAACAGCTTCCTCCCCTATATATTTAGCTGAAAATGGAAGATAACTGCAAATCGAGCATATCTACTTAAAGCCATGATTTTTTTTTTTAACACTTCCTTTTAAATATAGATGGCTGTGTTCTTGAAGGTTACCACTGTGTAAGTGGATGAGATAATACTTTAAAATCAGTATCTTCTTGTAGCTGTGGTCATCTAAGATTATAGTCAAATGCAGAGTCTTAAAAAAAAACCAAACCAAAAACTCCGTCCAGTGAGAATGCAAGGCCTTTGTCGGTGATGTGGTGTAAGTACTCAGCTTAATAAAGCTTACATGTGAAGTGACTTCTTTTGGAGATGATGAGTAGTTCTTTTTTGGAAAGAGATGTATATGGGACGCATTTTAAAAAGCAGCAATGCTTCCGTTGGAAAACTTGAATACTGAAGTAAAAAACCGGAGTCAATTTTGAAACAAAAGTGTGTTTTACCTTTTTTGGAGTTGTCCATGCACTGAAAGGTACAGCATTCCTTATCCAGAGCTGCTACCAACATCCAGACTGCAGGGCAGGTTTTTCTGGTGCACCTCGTGGTCCTCCACTCCAAGCCGTGGCTGTAACATGCTCCTGTTCCTCTGTTGCGTGTACGCCCACAGTGGTTTTCTGTGGAAATCAGGAGCGGAGCTGGTGGTGGTGAGTGAATCCTGGTGTTCACTTGGGCTATGGTAGCCAGCTGTGTCTGGGCAAGAGCTGAGGCAGGTACCTGGAAGCTTGAGAGTCTTATCCTCCTGGATCTGTAGTTTAGATGTAGCGACTGGCATGAGCAGCTGTCTTCCAAAGAGCGCGTTCTGTGTAGTTTCTCCCCTTTGCAGGACTTACTAGCTATCTTGACTTACCCTCTGCTGGGACAGAGCCCAGAATGATCTCAGATACTGTCAGTGAGTAATACCTTTCCTGAGATACATGAGTGACCCTTGGTTTTGCTTTATAGCTGTAGGCAGTGTTTTAATTGCATTGTCATTTTTACTGATGGAGTGTGTGGAAAGTCTGCTTTGGTCTCTAACTGGGTGATACAAGATGGAATTCAACATGTGAATCTGCTCATGAATACTAAGCCATGTAACCTGCTGGTGTATATTCAGTTTAAACTGGCAATATCTGGGGTGACTCCTTCTGGAGTTCTAAATGTTTCTTTATAGTACAGTTTTACTAATTGCTGGGTTGGCCTGCAGTTACTGCCTTCATGGTAATAGTCTTTGTTTCTTCATTAGAGACCAAACCTCAGTATCTAGCATTATAAATCGTCCTTGGGCTCTTAATGAAACAGAAGGGTTTTTAGGACTAGTCAGCACTCTGTCAGATATGGGAAATGTTTTACTTTGATTAGACTAGATTACTGTCTTTAGTATTTAGCAGACTTAGATTGAATTAATTCAGTGAAACTAATTTAATTGAAATATACTGCCCAGAAGGGAAAGTTCCATTTGAATTAAGCAGAAGCCAGAAGGAATTAAAAAACAAGCTTTCTGATGATTCTACACAAGCAAATATTTCTGGTGATGTATACCTTACATTCATAACCTGCCAATTTTAAGAATATAATCTGCAGAAATGTGTGTTGCACTCATGTGCTCTGGATGCATGGTTTGAATGTGTGCTCTGATAGGATGAGACATGATTGTTTACATTTTCTATGGCTTTTCAAGCCTTCAGTTTTAAGAAAGCTGTTTTGGTGAGACATATGGCAGCTAATGAGGTTGTGTAAATGATTTTTTTTTGGGGGGGGGGGGGGGAGAATTATTGCCAATCAGTATACCTACCAGGCAGATACACGGTAGGACTGTTATCAGGTAAATGCTGGTGACACTGGACAAAGGCGTCATTTGAGGTTTCTGGAGAAATTCTTGTGCAACAGGAGGACACTTAGGCAATATTAAAGGTGCTGGTGGAGGGTGCATGAAATGAGTACTGTAAAATGAGGGTTCAGTATAGCAGATGTTAAGGTTATGACATACTTGCTTTAAAGGAAATTTATTTTAAAACTTTTCTCCACTGGGCTCTTCTGCTTCATCAGAAATAGTTCCTCCTGCTAGAAAGAAAAGGGGAAAGAAATTACTTTGACTAGATAGTTCAGTTGGTATTGAGGAACGATGCTAGATCTATTTTGACGTGAAAGCCAATGGCTTTCATTTTTATTGCAGAACATGATTTTTTTTCAAGTAATGTATTACTACTGAAAGCTGTATTTCCATGAAATTAGTGTCTGCTATCAGTAGCAATGAAATGAGAAAATTATAATTCCTTTAAAATGTAATGGGTTATATTCTTTCTGTGCTGTGATCTATGAGTAAGTCAACTTGTCAGCCTTACTGCCAATGCTGAACTGTGTGACAGGCATTAGTGTGTTCTCTGTCATTAATAGTCTTTGTTCGTGCCCTTAACTTGCTGAGTATTCAAAAGCAAGCAAAGTGACCATCAACACTTCAAAATTCTTATCTGTTACAGAATTTCACAAACTTATTTGGACAACCATTGGTGTGCTTGCTTTCTCCAACAGCATATCCAAAAGCATTACAAGGTATGTGTAGTATTGCATTTCCTAACAAGTTGCAGTTGCATCATGTATCTATCCCAAACACATATAACTTAGATTCTTCAGGAGAAGATAGCTTTTCATCACTATGTAATCCCTAAATCAGATTAACGTTCCCTGAAGTAGTATGATAAAGTTTAGTTACTGTTTATGGCAAATAATTTATTCTAACAGTGATGATATTTCTACAGATAGCTTCAACAAGTGCCAGGAGGCAAAGTCTCTCCTACACAGAGACTCAGAAAACTGCCAGCCCTGTGCTGGGATGATGATGATGATTAGCACTTTGGGTAGCTTTGTTAGTCCCAGAAAGTGAGCAGAGTCAGTTAAGGTATCAGCTTTTAAATGCCAGGTGTAGAGCAAAATCTTCTCAGATCTTGTTCTGATTTTGGAAGGTAAGCTAAGTAAAACTGTCGGCTTTGTATGCCCTGAGGAGGTGCGTTGATAGTAGGAACAGGCAATGAACTATTATATTCTTCAGTCCTTGTGACTACTATAAAATATAAATCATTCCAGACTTTCTCAATGGAATTTGCCATGTTAAGGTTATTATCCATCACAAAGACAAGTTCAAAGATCTAGCTTAAGCCACATAAAGTGATGTTAGGCAAGTATCATGAGAGAATGCGCAAGAAGCGAAAGCTTCTCATTTGTTTTGAAACTATTCCTGTTATTTAGCTGAAATGTAAGTAGAAAATAAGTACTGTAATAATGAATCCTGTTTAAACAGAAACTCTGAAAAATAGAACTAACTTTATAAAATACTGGATGCTTATGTTGTGTTCATGGGCCAGTCAGGAAAGTCTTGCTGGAGTTCTGAGGGGGTGCTACACTGTGTACTAGAGCACCGTGCAGAGAGACTTCTTAGCGGAACCTAATTGAGCCCCTGTGTCAGTATGGCATTATACCATGCATGCTGTGTGCCCAAGTCCTGAAAAAAAAAAAAAAGGAAATGCACCAAAATAAGTCAGTAATCCTTGCTGATGAGGAAGTGGCCTTACTGTTTGGGCGCGTGATCTTCTGTGCATTGCCTTTCTTTTTGACTTCCCAGTTGATTGAGCTGAAGCTTGGACCTTTCTGTTTCATGTTGAACTGCATGGAGTAGATGGGCTTTAGGATATTGTGATGCCCAACAAAAGGGCAACTATGTAGACTTTGGGGGGGGAGATGTATAGGTTCTACTGCCTGTTTTTTTGAATGGAATAAGAATGTCCATGTTTAATAGTTCTCTTTAGGAATTGGTATCTTCTATCAGTTGTTTGTTATGACTTTTGTGTTCAAGTTATATGCTCAAAATGAAGATATAGGCCTCCCACAATACATGAAAAAAATCTCATTTCTCTTGGTGTTAATGCACATGTCCAGTAAGCCTTTATTGCTAGTCAGTGCATCATCTTGAGAACAGATCTGCCACAAGATGAGAGAAAATGTAACTAACACAAAGGAGTAGTTCCTCTGTTACAGAATTTAGTGGGTGAGCAACTTCATTCTGTGGCAGGGACAGCTTTTCTGTTTCATGTGCCAAATGTATCTCTTTGTCTATTGATTATTTTTTTTTCTTTCCCCCCAGATCAGTCTCAGCGGGGTAGCCTCTTCAAACTCTTTCTGAACAATCCTTTAATGGCATTCCTATTTGTCTCTGGATTATCAAGCATGCGCAGAGGATTGTGGGAGAAGTGTCAAGATTACCTTAGAAAAATCAACCGAGATATTGCCCAGCTGCTGACCCACTCCCGATCCATAGGTGCGTGCCTAAAGATGCACAACTAAACCTTAGCATGCTACTTAAGCGGATGCTGTTTTTTCTTGCTCAGCCTTTCCAAGGGACAGAATAGTGAATAAGGGGAATGCACAAGAATTCGTAGTGGTTTCCCTTAAGTCTCCCCCCCACCCCACCCCCCAGCCTTTCTAAACTGAGTTTTCTTTGCCTTCTCTACAGATCAGTCCTTTCTTCAATTTTTTGGGGATGAATTTCTTCGCTTGCTTCTAACAAGATTTATCTTCTGTTCGGCTACTATGAGGATGCACAAAATTTTCCGGGTATGCAGGGATATCTATCCCTTTGTGAGAACGATAGTCCAGTGCATATAGAACTGCACTGCCTCAGGATGGAAGGGCCTTAGGGCTAAGCATATCTCTGTGACTTCAGAAAGATAACTGATGCTCACATGCTAATGCCTACAGCTTGTATTGAATCTGTGCCCTTGTATCTCTCCAAAGGCATGAAGCCTTTGACTTGCTGAAGCCTTATTCTTCTACATAAGTAGCAGACACACTCTAATTCATTTATGTCACTCTGAACAGCCTTGTCTGCTAGAAAAATTCCTCTTAATTCAAGATTATTATTTCTACACAACTAAAAAGATATAGAACAAGAAATGGGGAGGAGTGGAACATTATCGCTAGAATGTATTCTAGCGTGAATGGATTTTGAAAGGTCTTTGAAGTGTAAATGAATAAACTAAACAGGAAGGTGGTATTTTCCCTCCCTGTTGGTTAATGCTGTGCCAACAGTGAAGTCTGCTTCTGGATCTACACCATTTTATATATGTGAGTGTTGGCATATAAACTGCCTGCTCCATTTTAAACATTACAGAAAAAAATGGAAATCGAAGCACAGAAATATACAGTATTCATCTTGTCTAACTGCAGACATCCAGTAGCTTTCCAAGCCTAAGTTAGCTACCTAGGCTTCTTTGATATCAGGGGAAAGAAGCAGGTCTTCTGTTAGTGGGGAGGGATTTGCCCCCAGTGTCTTAGGTATTTGTTTTAGGATGAGATGAATCTCCCACTGGAGATGCTTACATGTCTATAATTTCAAGAAATGAACTCCAGCCTAGTAGGTAAGTATATGTGAAGTCTTTTTGTCTTTTTTTTTTCCCCCCACCCAAGGCTTCTTTGAACGTTATTAACCGTCTTAGATGTATGGGCATTTGTATTGCCACTCTGACCATCTCTGAGTCAATGGAAAGAGAAAAAGTGAAAATGCTAGAATATTTTCTCTCTCTGTGGCATGCTAAACAGATTAGGACACCTCTTAAGTGAAATTGGCCTTTTGCAATCTTCTTCATAAAGGGTGTAAAAATAAATGAATGTCTGATTCTCTTTGTTTTCACTGTCATCTAGCAGGAGACTCGAAATTATCCAGAATCTTATCCTCAGCTGCCGAGAGATGAAACGGTGGAGAACCCTCACCTCCAAAAGCACATTTTGGAGCTGGCTTCCATACTGGATGTTAGGAATGTTTTCCTGGAAAACACCCTCGATGACTATTAAGAGAAACTGTCTTACTACAAAGGGGTTTCCCTGGCCACAGATTTTGAATGGTGCAGTTTTATAATGTGAAAATCATAAAAGGAAGTACTTGATTTTATTTTTAAATTTAGGACCATTATTTTAAAAAGTAATAATAAACAGCTGTTAGTTTAGCTGTTCCATTCTGTATGGGGTCAATTTTATAAGCAGAAGTTTTCATGTCTTTTAAATGTTAAACTAAAGAATCACTAGAGGTTTATTTCTGGTCTTGTGGCTATCAACCACATTTCCAACAGCTGATCCTAAGTATAGAAGTATTATTGGTTACCTTTAGCCCACATTTGTGGAAATCCTTTATTTTTATACAATTTTAAGAAATTGGAAAAAATCAATAGAAAAACAATATTTTATCCCCAAAGAGTCTGGATTTGAAATGGTAAAGATGGAAACACACAGTGCAAACCAACAATAGCAATAAAACAGAGTCCTTCATAACAAATATATTTTTTCAGTCTTAGGCAAGTAAGTAGACAAAAAGGTGAACAATTAAGTTGCATTTGGAGCAGTGGGTTTGAAGTGAAGTTGTAAAGATACTTAATGCTCCCTACAAGTTTGACGCAGCAGTTTTATATACGAACTTTGTACTGCTGGCCAAGGACACAATTTCCACTCTGCCTGATTGGGTAGATGGTTAGCAGATTAACAGATTACAAAACTAAGAAAGCTAGCCCCCATCTCTCACTGTAATATGGGTCATCTTGCCATTTGTATTGCTGCCACAATTTTCCAGGAGGAGAGGGCATTCTTCATTTTGAGGTACTAGACAGAAATTTCCTAGTACATTTCCAGGAGGTGTTATCCCTCCTTTCCGTGTGTTGGATGGAACGTGTGGCTCCCACAGTGTTACCAGTCCCTGATAGGAACTGAAAGAATGTCCCATATAGTGCTGAATACGAGCCCTTCCTATCACTCATTTATCTGACCCGTCTGTGCTGGATCCCTGTGCCCTAGGAGAGATGCTGGTGCTCCTTTTGCAGGTTAAACAAAGCGGGTGCTGCCATAAAGCCCTGCTAATGTTTTGCATGCCCACCGTTGTATGTCAGTCCTATCTTTGAACCAGTAAAGCTGAGGGGCTGTAATTATGTTTGGCAGCACTACAGGCTCCCTCAGCCTATAATGCCCCGTCTGGGTATGTTAAGGAGCACAGTGGCCTTTGTAAAGGCACTTGCTGGAGAAGGCTGTTCTGACTCCTGGGAAAAGTGCTTGCTGACTCATTTGGACTGCACTGCCTTCCTTGCCGAGCTAGAGGACCTCTTGCAACTCCTGACAGCGAAGGTGTGAGCGAGGAGAAGGAACCGAAAATATTTTAAACTATTAAATGAAAAAGTCCATTTTCACTTTTCCATGGGCTGCTAGAAAAGTAGTGAAAGGACAAGTCTGATCAGTGCTTTTATGTTGAACCCCAGGCATGCCTCTATTTTTAGGTGGAAAAAATGTAGAACTTTGTGACTACCATAGTATCATGGTAGGCCTGTTTGCAGTGCTGTCAAACAAGGTATGATCTAGTCAGCTGGAATAGCGAAGGGCAGCAGATCAGTACTGATGGACCCCATTCAGCTAGGGAGAGCACGGTATGGAACAGCAAGAATTGGTGGAGTGTAGCTGGGAAGTTTGCATGAAGGTTCTTTGTAGCTGGGCTGAAGCTTATGCCATCCATTCTTTAATTTCCCAAGTGTAAAAAATTCTGTGAATGCTAGTGTTTGTTCTACGCAGTCTTGAAGCTGGTGTATTGAGCCCCCCACCACTTGGTGCTGCTCTTCTTTGGACTATGGCAGGACTTTGTTACCTGGGATGTGGAGTTTATTTTAAAGAGTGTGTGTTTGTGTGTGTGCATGTGTATTCTAGGCGTTTGTGTGTATATGTACAATACGCATACATCTACTGGCTGGTGTAAATTGTAAATATGTATATATGTATAGGTACTTGTATATGTATTAAAAAGAATGAAACAGTACAATGTCTATATACAAAATTTATATATACACACATACGCTGTTTTGGGTGCATTCTACAAGGTGTTGCAGATTATTTGTAGTTGTACTAAAGGTTATGGCTCTTCTGCCATTGTAATTCGCTGTTTCCAGGGACTTACACTTGGACCTTGAAGTAATTCAAAACTGATTTCAGGTACAGGAGGCCTTGGTCAGCCAGGGGACTGAGTAGTCCTGTATGTATTACAGTGATAAGATTTGTGTATTCTTAACTGTGAAGCTGATGATCTGCCTTTCCTTCTGGTAGGAGGTCCCCGGTTATCAAAACATGGGATTGTATGTAGAAGCTAAAGATACTGAAAGCCTTTAATGCAGCAGCAAGTGAGAGACAGGTTATCTGTTACCCTGCCTGCTGTTCCTCCAGCAGCAGTGTTCAACTTGCATGGAATAGGGGAATTTAGTTTTCCCCAGCTCACTGCCTTTCAACCAAATGCTTTTGTTTTGCTTTAGCATTTGCTTTGATGAAGCTATTCTCATTTTGGTTCCGTATATCTGGAAAAGAGTATGCTATTTCTAAGCACAGGAGTGATGATGATTCCATTAGTGTGGGCTGGTGAACCTCTGTGGGATGTTGCTGCTTAACTGACTGGGAAAGCCTTGGCTGTCCCAGTCTTCATTTTAGCTGGGCTGAAGGTGAGGAGTTCTTGCCTGTGATCTGAGAGGCTTCCAATCCACTTTGCAGCCCTAAGAAGAGGTTCTGTTTGCTTATTACCAAGGTAGATCTAATCAAAGGAGAATGCAGTTTTTTAAAAACAAAACAAACCTGAAGAAGCTGGAACGTAGGAGGAGAATATAAGGCCTTGAAAATTAGTTCAGAAGTTGAACTTCTCAGCGATGACTGTCCAAGTCAAAAATTCATTCCTGAGGTCTCTTATTCCCTTCTTACCTACTGATCTTTGCTTCAGAGGTACGCTGCGGGTAGGGATATTCAAAGATAAAGATTTCACTCCTGTTGTGTCAGTAGGAGTACAGAATTTTACTTTGTAAGCGAAAGGCTGATACCCTCTGTCTGCTCTAGCTGTAGATAGGACAAATGTCTGGTCTTGGACTGTGAGCCAGCCCCCTCCCTTCCCACCCAAAACAACTGCATTCAAGATGAAAATATCGATATTTTCCCCTCCAAGTAAAAGCTTGTCTTGTTTGAACTTACTAAGTCATTCTAAACTTGTGCTACTGTGTGCTGTGTGCTATGGTTGTAGGTACCTTCTCGATGTATGCTTGTATGTACTGAAGAAAAATTTGGTTTATGTATCTAGCAGTCCTCACTGCGGAAGCGAAGCAAAGACTGGACCATTTTTAAGTGAGAAAAGAACGAATCCTTTTCTTCTCAGGCCTAATGCCTTCCCTCTTGTCTTGCTCTCCCTTTCTCCCTATATCTTTATTGCTTATGTTAGCGGAGACTTGCCACCACCAGGCAGTGCGGAATTAAAGGGGAGAGGAGAATGTGAGCTGGACCGAGTATGTCCTTACTGGACTACGTCTGCCTAGCTCCTGCTTACTGCATGTGGTATGTTCAAATGAATCCTGCTTCCACAGCAGGCACCTCTATTTGTACTCCTGTTCAAACTGGCTTTAGAACATCTAGCCAAAGTTACTGCTCTTGCCTTTTGTTTTTTTCCCCTTTGACTTCTCAAAGTAACAGTGAGAGGGGAATACAGGGTTATGAGTCTTTTAATGCTCTGGTGTTTAATCACTCTCGGGATGTGATGTGTCATTTAGCTTCATGCACAAACTAAATGGAGCACTAACTTCTGTGAGATGGGCAAACTGGACTTGCTCCCTGGAGTGCTTCTTGAGAAGCTTCAGGATGGTTTGTTTGGGTCGTTCATCAAAATAATATCTGTCAAGTTATGACTTACTAAACCCCTCAAGACTATTCCCCAGGGAGATGTGCAGCGATGTCTTTTAAGGATCATAGGAAATAGATGGGGGGACAGGAAATTAGGCTTCAAATAATCATCTTCAAAAGCTACAACTTCAGTAGCTCTGATCAGGCTTCTCCTCTAAGGATGGGATGAAAGTGCTGCTCCAAGATTCATCCCTGGCATGCTGTTGTGAAGCACCTCCCCTGCCCTGCCGCCTTCCTTGTGCTGTAACTCCATGCTGTGCTTCAGATCTGCTTTTTCCTGAAAGCTAAAAAGCTTGGAATCTGTCTGAACAACTTTTTTGTCCTGAGGCTTCTTTTGTGAAAGCTTTATCTATGTTAGATTCTTCAGTAACTGTTCTGACTACAGGTCACCAATGATAGCAGTGGCAGAGCCCTCGTTTAGTCTTGCCTGTTCCATGTTAAGTGGCTGCTTAGTGTCGGTAGCTGATCTGTGGTGGCTGCTGCTGCTCCTGGGACTGAGGGAGCTCCGCAGGCTGTGACAGCAGGAGTAATCTTACAAAGAAGGGAAAAAAATCTAATACACTGCGCTGAAAGCTGCCCTGTGCAACGCGGTGACATTAGACTAGCAGCATTCGGCCTCCACGTGAGGGATGCTGGCGCAGAGGACAGCGGCAAAAATCTCCAGAGCAGAGAGATTACACATTCCTGAGGTGGCTCTCTTACGTTTTTAGTATCTTTGACTTTTAGAGCAATACTGTTTCTGTGACCAAATGTATTGCAAGTGCTTTGAAGAGCTGGATGTCCACAAATAGGGCAGGGGAGGAACACAAGACATATGTATCTGCTTTATATTTAGGAGTGAAAGTAAGCTACTTTTTTTTTTTTCCCCCTTCCAAACCATTACTCTGCCTAGACAGAGAAGATTTAGTTCAAGATTTCTGAATTTGACAGATCTTTTGGGGGATTAAGGAGTGTCTCTGCATTCCTATTGACTTATTAATGTGCCAGATGCACGCAGAGACGTTTTGCTCTTAAAGATCCTGGTTTCATTCGCATTGAGAGCAGACTTCAATGCAACTTGCTGGCCCGAAGGAGCCCCCCCGGGCGGTGCAGATCGTATCAGATCTAATAACAGCAGCTGTTCCTTCGAGAATAAAAGCCTGTTGTGAGTATCTGCCCCATTGACTTTGCGGATTTCTTTCGGCATGTGTTTGTTATCTCTTCTGGGTTGTAAGTGACTTGTTAGGAGCAGGATTCTGCCTCACGCAGGCTAAAAAGCACAAGTTGCTTCTGCCCTGGCCGAGGCTCAGGGAGAAGGGCAAGGGGAATGCGGGAAGGAGGGAGGGAGGGTTCTGGGAAGGCAGAGGAACTGTGCCTCAGACAGTCCGTCTGCGGAGGTAAAAGGAGCGTTTTGCCTCTCTGAGAATCAGATTATTTATTACCAAAAGTAATTTTATAGTGAATTGGTTTAAAGTTATTTTACAGCCATGTGCCTGGATGTCGTATTTTGGTAAAAACAGATATTTTACGTAAAATACAGAGCTATATAAACTTTTTTGGAGCAAATGGACTTTTTTTGCAAGGGATCTGTAAACCGCCAAAGTACTGTCATACCAGAAGCTGTTCTGCCATTGTTCTTGGTGTCTTTGGGAGGAAAAGAAGCACGTTCGTGTCACTGCCGGAAATTTCGGGGAAAAGGAAAAGCTAAGATTGAAATGAACTGCTGTTACTCCATTCCAGAAACGAACACCTCGCTTCCCGCCGTGGCTTGTACCGGTAACAAACCCCAGCCCCAGGCCCGCCTCCT